TCCGAATAAATTTTTCGACAACCTTTGAAAATGGAAACGATATTGGAACATTGAATGGTGGAAAGTAAGGTCATAAGAACCTCCTCTCGTGTGTCCTCATCAAGATTTGCAAATTCTTTGTGAGGCCACATACTTTCGAAGCCATGAGACAGAACATATAAACATCCCTTCCATAAGCTCTCAACGTCATGCTCCTTTGCAAACGATGCCACCTTGGGAATGAACATCTGGCAGTCCCCACAGACACAGGTGAAATAGTGCAGCTTAGTAGCAATTCGATAAATTATTTCATCACAAAGTATTTTGATATTTAAAAAATCCGCACCAATCCACACCCACTCGCACATTTCCAAGGTTAAGGGTTTCTGATTATAAGAAAGATTTCCGGTATATATAAATGAAAGAATCAAATTGATTGATGTTGAATTGAAAATAGAAGCATCAAGGCTTATAGAAGCCGTACGGGCTTCGATAAAATCCGAGACAAGCATCCTCCTAAAATATTCAGATCTCGTGGACAACATAAATCGATGTGCCCTGATGGCTATAGGCTTGAATATGTCTTCATCATCCTCTTCAATGATATCAAGATTATCTTCGTTGAATTCCAAAACCAGCTCAACATCGGTATATAATTTTGATTTATACATGTACAGCAAATCTTCCTTTAATTTCTGTTGTTCAAGTTCATCAGTGGTATCGACTGCAGCCAAAAATTCCTCGCTCCCTTCCTCACCAGTATAAAAAAATTTTAATTCTTGTTTGAAAAAGAATGGGTCTGTATCGGTCTTCACACTTATTGGATCGGGATTTGATAATCTCATAGACCGTACGGACTGTGCATTCGTATCTTTGTTTTTTAGGAAGCGTTCTTTAAAGGAACGTGAACTTCGAGCATACAGAATAGCTAAGTGTTATGAAAAAATTTGATAAAGTAAGTAATTTATCTCAGAAATTCTCAAAAAAAAGATAAATAGTGAGAATTCGTTTAATGTTAAGAATATAATCAATCTTTGTCAAAGAAATATTTATCACTAATTTCACTATCTGGATTTCTAGAACAAACAAATAGTATTAGCGATGGATGTCAAAGACTGAGAAATGTTAATACCTTTGTGCGCATAGATGGTGGTAGGAGTGAGCGCCGAGGTGAACTCCCACGCTATATCAGCAAATAATTCTTTCGCATGTTCAAGCGCGTATCTCAAATCTTCAACCAAACTATCCTTCGGCGGATTTGCTAAATCTAATCCCGGAGGCGGAAGTAAAACGCGTTTTTTCTTCTCCGAAACCATAAAGATAAAACTATAGCATAGAACGAGTGGAATAAACTGAGGCTAGTTACGTGAGGAGTGTTTAAAGTTTAATTTATGCAGGTTTAAAAGAAAAAAAGGTTAAAGTACAAATGAAGGTTTAAAGTGTTCTATGTATTTGTTTATCGTCAAAGAGTCAAAAGACTTTTCGCAGCGGCTGCAAGTCACTCATTTCCTTTTCTGCAATTATTTCAACAAATAAAGGCAAGTATAAATATAATTTTGTCCAACGTGCATAGAATAAATTCCTATAATTCCTGAACACTTACTATCTGCTATATCTTAAATTACGTACTGTTTTGTTATCCCACCAAATCAGGATATACCCAACAGGCCGGAAAAGGTGAACTTCTATTGTGCCATTATTCAAAAAGAATGTCGCGTGTAACAACCAATAAATCACACAGGTCGCTCATTTAGGAATTGGTGAATATTTATTCCTCCGTGTTTGAACCTTGATGGTTTTAAGTATTTTAACCGTGAAGTTCTTTCGAAAAGAAGTTATTGCTTACAAAATCATTAGCCATTACTGTTACTTTCATTTAATAGTTTAACAGCAATGGCAGGTCTAAAAAGTATTCTTTATTCAGTTGCGTTCTTGTTTGGAGTCACATATACCACCTGTGCTGATCGTAACTCTGTTTATCTTATATCCTAAGCGTGTGTATAAGTCTAGCAAAGCAGAATTCCTGATCCCGCTTGGTTGCTGCACCGTCAAAAACTCTTTCCTAATTCCCGTTCTCCAACAAATATTTTGTTTCAGTATTATTTTCTTAGCCTTCGTGCTCGCTTGTGGAGGGCTACTCGTGGCCTTGTCCGGTGCATTATATGGGTTTGTATAATCACCAACCTCTTTCCATATTCGGATTGGCTAATTTTAAATCTTGTTTATTTGCCTTCTTTAGAAATTGGTGGCCATTGTTTGTTGGTAGGTATTGTCTACATACCTATATTTCGATCCGGATGCTAATTTCATCTGTGATAATTGCCAATAAAAGTTGGAACATTTGTTACGGCTCCTTTATCAAATTTGATTTTCTCTAAATGTTCCAATGGTGACGGATACCTCTCCGAGGATTCAAAGTATATTTTTTTTGTTATCATATTTCTTTTCGTATGATTGTATCTGTCTGTTTTACGTTATTTTTCCTATTATCTAGCAATGCATTTAAGGATTTTGGAAGATTCTTGACAGCGTTGATTATTGTCACAGGATTCGGTAGGTCGATCACATCATGTTAATCTATCTATGCTGTGCACGTCTTATTATTTTTTTCTCTAGGATTACCAATTGTTCTTGCACATGTTGAAGTGGTAAGATCACATCATAGTACCGTGACAATTCCTCTAT